ATTGACTCTGTTGAAGTGAAAGAGTACCAGTTTGAGAAATGGTCTGAAATATTGTAAAAGTTGGTTGCCCAGAGTCTCTGTCAAGCAGTGGTGCATTACTTTCATTTGGTCCCAAGGGACATGTTGCTTCAAGTATTTGCTCGATAACGAAGCAGTTCAAGTCGAGAAGTATGTTTGTGAAGTAACCTACTTTCAAGATATGAGCCAACCACTCTAAGGTTATGTTGTCTTCAAAAATCCTCAGGTTTCTCATCCCTCCGTGAGCATGAGGTAAAGGAAAAGATTTGTCGAGATTTTGTTGGGCAGGGGCAAGCGTGTCGAATACTCCGTCGAGTAGGTATTCAGCCAATTTGAGGCATTCAAGTTGGTATTTTATCCCCCAAAGTTCATAACACTGGGGCAGATTGTCTTCAATAGTAAATCTCAAAAAGTCCTCTCGAGGCAATTTTCTGCAAAAGCCTTACAGACTGGGGCAAGAATTTATGTAAGGGCTTTCTCTCTTTTTCAGTGGTTGATCATACCAAGTCCATGCATAGGCTAAATGACCCATGAATTTTAAAATCATGCCGAGAAGTCAGGATTGTTATCTTCGACTTATCAGAGACTCAAGTCCATTTACTGATATCCTTTGTCCTAAGTCAAGGTTATTATCCAAGTTGAAGTTTGGTTTGTTATCCTCAGTAGGATATGAGCAGTAACGCAAAGATCATTTGGGTTTGTTTACTCGTACGAGACTCGATGGAGATGTTGCTTCCTAGGGGGATGCCTCTTCCCAGTAAAAGACCTTCTTGCTACTCGACAAAGATCTGTCTACCAGGGGGTTTCTTTTCTAAGATATTTTCTCCCGAGTGAAGCATCCTCATTTCTCCGCAGGAGGAGAATGGTCCTTCTCCTCATGAAATTGGGAGTTTTTTTTAAGTCAAGATGATTCCTTTTTGTCGGACTGCAATTTATTTTTGCAGCATCTTATCTAAAGTCCACTTTTTAGTGCCATTCCTCCTCGGAGTCGACATGTTGAGTTTGCAACCTTGCATCGCGGTTTTTTACTCAGTGATTGGTAGTTAAAATTTTCTATTATTCAGTAAGTTTTTCCGTTCCAAACGGGGGCATGTCGCCCCAATTTCTATTTTGCAAGTACTATTGGTCTTGTATAACAAGATGCATACCAACAAATGAATCAAGAAGGGTCTGTGTGTGACTAATGTGAGGATTTTCGTATAATGAGATCCAATTTCCCTAGTGGTACTATTCTTATTTCCCTAGTGGAGCAAGTGTCCTATCTCTCAGGTGAGGTGTACAGGAGAATTCCAGTCATAACGCTTTCGTTACCAGGGATAGAAGATTTTGTTGAGATATCCCTAGTAGAGTTTCTATCCCGGGATGTTTATTTCTTCCCCAAGTGAGGATATTTTACCTCCCAGCAATGTTATCCCCAGGGTGGTCTGAGTAGAATTCTTTTTATTTAAGAATTTATATACTCCTCCAACAAAAGTTATCTTCGTCAAGAATTTCTATGCCAGAAGTTTCCATTCCCAACAAAGCTCCCCTCTTTCCAACAGAGGATAAAGAATTTATTCCCCGTGAAGTGGGGAGTTTGATCAGAATTCAAGATTTTCTCTGAAACGCAATTTACGTTTGCAGTATTCTTCCTAGGAAGTTACTTCCCCAGTGATATCGATCTTTAGAAGTTGGTGGGCCCAAATATCGGTTCCCCATTGAAGTACAAATTGCCTTTTCTCTACAGAAGATCAGATGTGCAAGAATAATCGTTCGAAAGTTCTTTGTCTTCTAAGCAGCCGATTATTGATGTGTTTTCTTAGTGCATTACTAAACATGCATCATTACATTGCATCTACCAAAGTGTGTAGCATTCCCATTATATGGGGCATTACGCTATAAAAACATATTTTTCAAACATGCATGAGTACAAGCCAATTGTGTTTACTTGCAGCAATCAGCTTGTTATGCATTCAGATTTGAACTATCTCCACAAGAAGCCTAGGGTGATTCTATTTTGTTTCCCCAGTGCAGTCTGTTTGACTTACCACCACTCGAGTCTTTGATGTTTCCCATTGTCTTTGTAAGTCGTGATTCTCTCTTACCCTTGCAAGCCTTTGGTTATAAGTCCTTTCCTCCGGACATATTTTCCAGATATTTTTGGTTATACGCCCTTTCCTCCGGACGTATATTCCTGATATTCTTGGTTAGAGTCCTTTCTTCCGGCCTCTTTCTTTATTATGTATCCGCTACCAACCCCAGATATGTATTTTTGATACCTTTTTCATATGTCTGCTACCAACCCCAGACATGTGTTCTTGATATCTTTGTAAGAGCTTTCTCCGGTCTGTCTCTTTCGTGCGTATCCGATACCAACCCTAGATATGTATTTTTGAAACCTGTTTCATATGTCTGCTACCAATCCCAGGCATGTGTTCTTGATATCTTTGTAAGATCTTTCTTCGGTCTGTCTCTTTCGTGCATATCCGATACCGACCCCGAATATGTATTTTTGATACCTGTTTCATATGTCTGCTACCAATCCCATACATGTGTTCTTGATATCTTTGTAAGAGCTTTCTTTGGTCTGTCTCTTTCGTGTGTATCCGATACCGACCCTGGATATGTATTTTTGATACCTGTTTCATATGTCTGCTACCAACTCCAAACATGTGTTCTTGATATCTTTGTAAGAGCTTTCTTCGGTCTGTCTCTTTCGTGACTATCCGATACTGACCCCGGATATGTATTTTTTATACCTTTTTCATATGTCTGCTACCAACCTCAGACATGTGTTCTTGATATCTTTATAAGAGCTTTCTTCGGTCTATCTCTTTCGTACGTATCCGCTACCGACCCCGGATATGTATCTTTGATGTCTCTTTTGTACGTATCCGCTACCAACCCCGGATATGTATTTTTGATACCTTTTTCATATGTCTGCTACAAACCTCAGACATGTGTTCTTGATATCTTTGATGTCTCTTTCGTGCGTATCCGATACCGATCCCGGATATGTATTTTTGATACCTTTTTCGTATGTCTGCTACCAACCCCAGACATGTGTTCTTGATATCTTTGATGTCTCTTTCATGCGTATCCGATACCGATCCCGGATATGTATTTTTGATACCTTTTTCGTATGTCTACTACCAACCCTAGACATGTGTTCTTGATCCTTGTAAGAAGCTTTCTTCGGTTTGTCTCTTTCGTATCCACTACCGACCACGGATATGTATCTTTGATACCTTTTTGTATGACCTCTACAGATTTCAGGCATATATCTTTCCTACAAGTATTTGTTACTAAATCCCAACAAATGTTCCTTGATAACCAATTCTTCTTCTGTGTGTCTGACCCTGGTTAAACATACATCTATCCCTGATAACCCCTTTAGCCCAAAAAAGAAAAAAAAAATAAAAAAAAACCCAAAATATAATGTATTCCGGACTGGCTTCGGAGCGCAAATTTTCGGGTTCTTTTAGTATTTAATCTTCTTCCCCCTGAAAGTTCGAAAGGCTAACGCCAATCTCACTTTCAGGTTGAAGGCGATTAAATAGGGGCAGCTGTTGCACCCCAAAATTTTCCCTCCTAATTTCTTCTATCTGGCTTAGACTCTTGCATCCATCTGTATATATTCCATTATGTCATTACCATACATTTGCATTCGGAAGAGCTTGAGGTTCAAAGTTCAGTGGTTGTGCAATATTAGGGTTTCGTAGCGGTTAAGGTGTTCGTATCCAATAAAGCCTGATTCTTCTGATTATCCTTCAAGCAATGAATTGTGGAACTAGGGTTGCAACCTATGCTTATTAAGGGTTCCATTCTCTTCAAGTTAACCGAGTTATTACTCATTCATATGTATTCAAGACAGGAGTCAGAGTTTTTTTACCAAGTCTGTGCCTGTCAACATTTCATCAACCGAGGTTCATTAGGTTATTAGTCATGTCCATCTTGGTCATACTTCTTTCTGTATTCCCATGTTCATTCCCAAGTTGTTCTACGAGGTCATCTAAGGGCTACTAAATTAGGCATTCTTTATCTCCTTGTGCTCAACGTCATCATTTGATTAGGGTTTATTTCTCTAAATCATGTACCATTTAAGAGAGGTTTCTCTGTGAAGTTGTGATTATCAGGCAAGGCTATAATCAGGGGATATCGTCCATGAATAACAAGGGTTTCAATTGACATATCTTTGGAAAATAAGAAGGAAATCATTGCTTGAATCTCTAGTCATGTGGGGAACAACTCTATTCTAGAGAAGAAGATTCAGTTGGACCTTCTTCACGAATTAGGGTTTGTATGCCTTATAAGGCAAAGCTCTTCATCTGGTTGATTGGCTTACTTGAAGTACAATCTATTTTCTTAATATTTCATTTCAATGCTTTGTGATCAAAATCTAAAAAAGTTTTGTATGGAAGATTAGGGTTTTAAATTAAAGACATGCAGACGTTTAAGCATGGATTCATTTAAGTCGATTTAAGGAAATCTATATTCGTTTATTAGAAGATATTCAAGCAGGGAAGTTCATCTAAATTGATAGAATGCAAGACATTGGGATTTCACAGATACAAGGTCGATAAAGGACTTGGGATATCAAATTCAAAAATAAAGGAAGACATTTCTTTCTCGGGAAACTCAAAACCAAATGAAGAGAAAGTAGTTTGCACCCTTGATGATTTTACATTTGGATTCAAGAGGTCCCAAAGTTACATTTGTATGAAGGGTCATACTGCATTACCTTGGTTTCAAGAGAATTTACAAGCGCAAGGCCATTTACAGTTTACTATAGTATTTAAGTTCCATTCACCACTACAAAACCTTTTCATTCCACATTCAACAAAAATTCCAACAAGTTCATTCATTACAAATTTACCATAAGTCATTTCAATTTCAAATTCTATACAATTAAATCAAAACACCATTACAAAACCATAGAAAACTACATTCAAAAATGTTACATGAAAAATTATCCAATCTCTAAATCCTTCTTCATACGAATTATGTATTCCAATCTCCATGCCAAGCTTTTGAATATCCTTCACCACTGTGCTATGCTTATCCCTAACATTAATTCTCCATCTTCATGTGTTCTTCAAGCTTCCGGCTCTGAGTTTCAACCTGCACTAATAAACCCAGTTCAGCCAACCAACTCAGAAAAAAACAAAAGTAAATATCGGCTCCAAAATCTGTGCATGAGTATTAGCAGCCCTGCATATTAACAACCAAAAAGTCAACTCTTTGTTTAAATCATGACAGAAATACAACTCAGTTGCTTGCTCAAATCACGTTGCAAGTTATGCCCACGTACGCGGTTACATCATCTAACAAAAGCCTAAATCAACCCCGTTCAACCTTCGAGGGTTTCATGGCGAGTTAATCAGGGTTCGATCCTTCACTCGCAATTTATCTTAAGTCCCCTGATAAGTACCTACTCTTATACCAAAATAGGTGCAGCATTTTATGCATTAGGCATAGGGGCATGTGCTTCGGATGATGTTGATAAAGAAGAGCTTAAATATGTTTACCATGAAAACAATCAGAAGGCTATCAAAGTCTTGCCTACATTTGCTGCTTTTCTTACATTGGAATCATTGCACAATGGTTTTGATCTCCCAGGATTGCAATACGATCCACGCCTTCTGGTGCACGGACAACAATACATAGAGTTGTACAAACCATTTCCTTCAAGCTGTCATGCACAAAATAAAGTTAGTCTCGTAGGATTGTATGATAAAGGCAAGGCAACAATTTTAGAGATTGAAACAAAAGATTATGAGAAAGAATCTGGCGATGTATTATGCGTGAACAGATCAAGAGTCTATCTACGCGTTGCTGGTGGCTTCTCGAAATCATCGAAATTGTTTTCCTACTCACATTACTCTTCAAACCAGACCTCAGTTGTACAAAATTCCTGAAAGTAAACCTTTTTCAGTGTTGGAGGATCGTACACACCCATCTTAAGCACTGCTCTACAGACTATCTGGTGATTATAAACCTGTGCATTCAGACCCCCAGTTTGCAATGGTTGCTGGATTCTCAAAGCCAATATTGCAGGGGTTGTGCACATTAGGACTTGTTGTTAGGACAATCATCAAGAGTGTATGCAAAGAGAATCAAAACAGAATTCAAAACTGGCCTAAAAAAAACTAAATCAAAAAAGAATTTTATAACTATCAAAAACAACTAACATCTTAGTAACTAACTTCCAACTAGTTTTTTAACCGTCAAACAGAACTTCAAAAAAAACTGTAACTAACTTTTCCTAAGAGCATAATGGAATTTTCTGAATAGTTTTAACTAACAACTTTGATTTCTAAGCTAACTTTTTTAGTTACTTGCACTAATAGAGAATGCTAACTAACTTCCTAATAAAAAAACAAGAAAAGCAACAGAAAATTAAACAAGAATTAACAGCCTTCTCTAACATCTTTCAACTTCCTCTAACAACTTTTCATAAATAGAGTTCCAACAAACATAATTACTAACCCCTAACTACCTCTAACCGTTTCCCAACTAATATCCTGACAGTTATAACAAAAATTTTCTAACCAATCTCTAACCAACTCCCAACAGAATTTCCTAACCCCTAACTGTCAAAACTTCCTTCCAACTAACCTCTAAAAACCTCTAACAGATTCCCAACCAACTTCTAACTGATTCAAACACCAGCTCTAACTAACATTCAACAAACTAAAAAAAATAGAATATAAAAACAGAGTCACCTTTTTTTCTTTCAGGGGGATTCCTCACTAATGCAAAAAGAATCACAGGAAATTCTCTCTTTCTTCATTTCATTCTCCAACTTCAGAATAAACAAAAGATCTCTGAAAATTCTCTCGAAGCTCTCTCATCATCACTCTCCGTCACCAATTCTTTTGCAACAGTCTTCACCTTCTCGACAACCATGTAGGACCTTCAATAATCTCTTACTGCGCTTCAGTCACCATCATCATCATCCCCACCACCTACATCAACAGCATCACAACCAAAGTTTCATAACGACGCTTAACTAATTTCAATAGTGTTGGATCTGCATCATAGTGCAGAACAAATGCAATAACAGGAACACGAAGAAGATAACAAAAACAGTAGGAAGAAGGTGTGACGGTGTGAATCGAGCCTTACTTGGAGTCTGCAGACCCTGACTCTCTTCTTCACCGTGATTAAAAAGCCTTCAGAGTGGGTCCAGCAGTTACGATTCGAATTCTCCCTCTCTTACTTCAACGACACTTCAATATTCGTTTTCAAAGACATATTGTGCTTTGTATTTCATTTCGATTTGGAGATGACGAGTGAGGTCAAGAGCTTTTGAGACCAGAATTGAAAGAGAACAACGGAGTCTGATAGTAGGAGGCCGAAGAGGTGTGAACAAAGAAGAAAGAAGAGAGGGAACCGTGTGTATCACGGTGGAAGAGAATCAAAATAAAGAAGAAGGTGTTGTGCGGTGGTGCTGTGAGAGCATGATGGAGGTCGACCCTTGGAGAAGAGAGGAAGAAAACAGTTCCAGTTCAAACGTGTTAGGGATTCTGATTGGAGATCTATTAGAAGAAGTGATGTTGTGATTCAGAGAATGGAGTCGCGGCGGCGGATCCCTGGAAAAAATGAAGAAAAAGCTCTAATCGCGCCGCGGCGGAATAATCTTCGACAAAAGAAGAAGAAGCTAATATGTCATTTTGCAACCCTAATCCTTTTTTTTCTTTTTTTTTTCAATAAACTGAAACAAGAATTGAGTGAGGTAGTGGTGTTGGACTATGCTGAGTTTGTTGGGCCTCTGCGCCTCTCACTTCACTCATAGGCCCGTTTTTATTTAATCACAAGGCCTGCTACCATTTTTTTGGTATAGCTATTAATTGAAGAACCAAAAAAGAGCTCCTGGACCTATTCTGCTGGTCCTAGCACCCAGCTTACTACTAAAGCACCCCCTAGATTTTGGCTTGCACCCCTAAGTTCTTCCTTTTAATGTTTTACTTTTGATAGTCGTTTAGTTTTGTCGAACTTTCTTCTTTACATAATAAAAATGATAAAAATCAATAAAAATTTGTAGATTTTTTTTTTGGTTTTTAGATATTAAATTCCGATTATCCGATTACTTGAGATTTCTAATCTACCTTTGCTTTTAAGGTTGGAATCTTATGCAGGATATGCATATATGCTTGAGTTTTCGATTGCGATTTATTTTCGCATAAATGTCGCTTCGACACCTATATTGCATATTCAACTTCTGACTCTTTTCTTTATGATAGCAGCTCGCGAGATCGTCGGGTTTCTTTGCTTTTTTACTTTGCTCTACGGGCTAGTATTTGTTTGGTATATTTTCTTTCTACTTTCTCTCCGCATTTAACGCTTCATAGAGATCATGTGAAGTATGATAACATTAGGTTTAGAAATAGGCTAGTCTCCCTTTGACTTTACTTTCCCTTTTTGCATATGCATTTAATACAAAAAAAAACTTCTTTTTCTTACAAACTTCAAAATAATTAAAAAACTTTACTGACGAGAATCATATCTTTGTTAAGTATGAGAGATGATAAGCGGGTTTCTTCTCGACCTTATTGTTCTCTTATTCTAAGCTTTGGTGTGGTTCAAGTCTCAAAGACTTATCTCATGAATAAGTAGAGAAATGGCTAAAATCTCTCTCTTGAGGTCAACTAGTTGTTATCTACAAGCAAAAACACCAACAAACACAAACTCTTTTTGCCTATGGGCGTTTCTTTCAAACTCTTTTCAAAAGAGCATGTTAATTCACTTTTGTGCTAACGCGTAAGTCTCTAAAGGTCGAGTTGCGGCAGAAGGTGAAATTAATATTGTTCATTAAAAACACAAACCAATTCAAATATTTGTACGCCCAAGCACCTTTTCTCCAAAAACTTTTTCCAAAGAGCATGTTACTTCACTTATGTGCTGACGCGTAAGTCTCCAAAGGTCGAGTTGCGGCAGAAGGCGAAATTAATATTGTTCATTAAAAAAATACAAATCGACAAAAACGTATGAGCCGAACTATGGCTGCTCTGATTCCTTAAAAGGGATACGTAGGCATCGGGGTAGGGCCTGAACGAGCACAACTTTTATTTTTTCTACATTCTTTTCTCATTTCTTTTGCATGCATTCTCCCTTCAGTAGTATAGTAAATAATAAGCATTGATTGAACACACCCATAAGATAGATAACAAGAGTGGATACCGTAGAGTACTACGGGCGCATGGGGTGCTAATACCTTCCCCTCGCGTAACAGACTCCCTTACCCAATCTCTCGGTCGCAAGACAATGACTTCTCCCTTCTTCAGTTTTCTCGATGTTTACCTTTCCCTTCCTGTGGGATAAAAAACATTCGATGGTGACTTCATTGTTTGATGATTTTCAGCCGGTTGTTTCACCCCTGAATAAACATTTTTGTAAGAGAGACGGAGATCCTAGTAAGAGGAAATCATCGAAAGGAAAACGAAAATTTAGAATGAAAACAAATAGCCATGTGAAATGATCTCATTGCCTTCCAACTCTACTATTTCCCCAATGTCTTTGAATGTCCCTTGCCATTAATAGAAGTTGATTGGATTGATCTTAGACCGTTTGAACTTGGACCTTGGTGATAGAATTGACTGTGTTGATTCCACGGGACATAGTCACACGCTTTTAATCCTTAACTTTTTCCTAGACAGCCCTTTCGGGTTTTCAGCCCACAAGGATACCCTTTTTTACCCAAGTCGCCCTTTCAAGTTTTCAACTTGTCGGGTGTACAATCTTTTGCATATGTGCCTAATTTTTTCCCAAACCTTTTGGTTTATCGGGATACCCTTATTTTTCCTAGGTGTGTCAACCTAGAGGGTCTCTTATGCATAGTATTTTTTAACTATGTCCACGTTTATAGGATATGGGAAATCTTCACCATCCATGGTAGTCAGCATCATGGCACCGCCAGAGAAAACTCTCTTGAGAACAAATGGCCCTTCATAGGTGGGAGTCCATTTGCCTCCGGGGTCACCTTGTGGTAAAATGATGTGCTTTATCACTAAGCCGCCAACTTGATATACTCGAGGCTTGACCTTTTTGTTGAAAGTCTTGATCATCCGTTTTGATACATCTGACCATGGAAAATAGCAGCTAATCATTTTTCATCGATCAAGTTCAGCTGATCTAATCTCGTTTGATTCCACTCGTCTTTGCCTAAGCCTGCCTCAATCATAATCCTCAGCGAGGGAATTTGAACTTCCACTGGCAGAACAACTTCCATGCCATAAATTAAGGAAAAGGGAGTTTCCCCCGTTGATGTTCTAGCTGAAGTGCGGTAGCCATGTAGAGAAAACGGCAACATCTCATGCCAATCCTTATAGGTTACTACCATTTTCTGCATAATTTTCTTGATATTTTTGTTAGCCGCTTCGATTGTGCCATTCATTTTCGGTCTATACGGAGAAGAATTGTGATGCTTGATCTTAAACTGAGTGCAAAGCTCAGTGATCATAGCATTGTTGAGGTTAGTCCCATTATCGGTGATAATCCTTTCGGGGACACCATAACGGCATATGAGATTGTGTCTGATGAATCTGGTTACCACATTCTTAGTGACTGAGGCAAATGAGGCGGCTTCGACCCATTTGGTAAAATAGTCGATAGCAACAAGAATGAAGCGATGTCCGTTAGAAGTTGTAGGCTTGATCTCTCCAATCATGTCAATGCCCCACATTGAAAATGGCCACGGAGCGGTCATGACATTCAGAGGGATAGGAGGCACATGGACCTTGTCAGCATAGATTTGGCATTTGTGACAAGTCCTTGAATGTTGATGGAAATCGGTCTCCATCATTGACCAATAGTAACCGGCTCTTAAGATTTTCTTAGCCATCGTATGTCCGCTTGAGTGAGTACCGAAGAGACCATCGTGCATGTCTTCCATAATTTCCTCTACCTCCTTCTTGTC